GGGGGGGCAAATCAGCCTCACCCCCAGCCCTCCCCGGGGCCGGTGCTGGGTGCTGCTGAGGGTGGGGTGGGGGGGGTGACGGTGGGTCCCACTCACCCAGTGGGCTTCGCGTCTCTCTTCCAGCGGGTCTCACCCCAAAGACGGACAAAAAAACCCTCTCGTCCCCACGGGGAGACAAACCCCACAGCCCCACCACGGGGACCGGAGCGGGGTTTTCTCCGTCGCAACCGCAAAGTTCCTGGTTTTGCCCGTGACCTTGAGATGGGAATCTGGATTTTGGGAGGGTGAGAGCCGGCAGATGGGATCCTCTCCTCGCCTTTCCCCCACCGGGGGCGGCTTCGGCACATCCCCGCCGGCTTTTGGGTGGTGGGGTCCCTGGTTGATAGACAACGCTGGGACGCACCGCAGCTCCGCTCTCCTGCCGTCACCTACCTTGATTTTTCTTTTTTTAGTCCAGAGGTGGTTCCAGCCTGAAACTTCCCAAAGTTTCCCAAAGCGCTCCAATAATGGGGAATTTTCCCGCCAGCGGCCTCGCCGGGCTGCCGGGTCCTTGCGGGTGATGCGGCGATGCGGTTCGGACAGGCATGGCGGTGGGAGACGTCCACGGAAGCCCGTCGCCTTTCCCAACGGCGCGGCACGTGCCGTGCCCTCGTCCCGCTCCCGCTTGGATCCGGGGAGGGGGGGAACGAGGGGCCGACCATCACGCTGCCGGCCCTCGGGGACCCCCTGACCTTGCGACGCAGCTCTGCCCCCGGGGGGGGGACGGCTGCGAGGTGCCAGGGTCCCCCGCCATGTTGGGGACGCGTTAGGAGGGCGATGGCCGCTCGTGCTTGTGTGCCGGGCTCCTCCGGTGCCGGGCAGGTATTTTCCCTGCAGGAGTTTTACCCAGCCCTGGCTGGAAGAGCCGGTGCTGTCGAGTATTTGCTTAAGCGCAGGCGAAGGGGGTTGCCCAGTTACTGCACCCTACCTCCCCAGGGCTCGCCTCCACCCCCGCAAAAAAAAACAGAGAGAGAAGCAGCACTCATCCTAGGGAAGAGATCAATCAGGGTGCTGCTGGGTGGGACGAGCCCCCCACTTCGGCCCTGCTCCTCTTGCCTCTTCCCCGGGTGCTCCTGGCACCCCGGGGTGGTCTCCCCCTCAGGAGGGACCCCTCGGTGCAGGGGAACTATGGGCCTGGGGGGGGGTTCCCCCACAGAGGAGCCTGGCGGCGAGGAGGGGGGGAGCAGAACGATTTGGAAAGGAGGTCACGTCGCTTCGGCCGGGCGAGAACGGCATGTAAAAGGCTCGACGGAGGCCTTATTTGGTAGCGGAGCGGCTCCGGAGAGCCCGGCTCGTGGCCCTCGTCCCCATCCCATGCCAGATCCCTCATCCCCGGGGGAGCGGGGCATGGGGAGGGGACCCCAGGGACAATTTCGTGGGGGGAAGGTGCCCGGCGAGCGGCTAAGGTTTGGCCCGTGGCCCCTGCGTCGCATCCCCCCCGGTGCTCTTGCTTCCTTTCCTCCTTTAAGCGTGGGGTCCGGAGGATTTGGGAACAAGCCCCGGGGTGGGACGCGGCCAGGCGTGACCCCTGCCCGTGCCCGCCGCTCCTCCGCTCTGTTGCAATCTCCCATCTGCTGCTCCCTTGGCTTCTCGCTGGCTTTTCCTCCGCCGCTTCCTCGTTCCAGCCCCGGCAGCTCCGGACTTGCTTTTCCCCGAGGGCTGCTCCTTCTCGTCCCGTCCTCTGCCGGACGTTTGGCTGCCGGTCCGGAGAAATGGCTACGGGTGGGTGGTGGGACCGGAGGCTGAGCCCGCTCCTCCCGCATCCCCGGGGCGCGGGAGCCAGCATCCCTTGGCCTCAGCCTTGTTTACGTCGGGGAGTTTTGCGGGTTGATGGCGTACGTACGCACGGCTCGGGAATCTGAACCCGGCCGAAGAGGACGCTCCATTAGCGAAGAGAGTATTTACGCAAGGACAAATCCCTGCGGGGCTGGAATGCACCCCGCTGCGGGGGAGGCAGCACCCCGCTTTGCCGGGGAAGTAGGTGGGGAAGGGGGGGGAAGCTCCGCTTGCCGTGTTTTACGGCTCGATCGCAGCCCCGTGCCATCGCCTTCCTGCTCCCACCGGGATCCGGCTGCCCGGCGGTGCCTCCCCGGCAGCGGCAGGCAGTCAAGCGGCTAATCGGCTGGTAGAGAATTAAAGCGAGCCCCTGCTGAAAGGTGGTGGACGGGGAGCTGGGGTTGAAGGAGGCAATTAAATGCCTCGTGAATGAATCACCCGGACGCCTTCCGCCTCTCCCCTCCGGCCCCCGGCCTGTTAACGTTTACCCGGGGTTGGTTTGCGCAGGGGAAGGGGAGCGTGACCGCGCCGGCGGGGCACCCGGCATCCCTCGGGCTGCCACCATCTCATGAGGGTCCAAGGCGGGCAAATGCCTGCTTACCTTTGGGAGACAAACCCGGCTTGTGGCTTCATGGGAGGAAGAGGAGGAGGAGGAAGAAGAGCTGCCGGCGCTCCACCATGGACTTCTCCATGCTGAGGCCGTCCTTGAGCCGTGGTCTGGAGACCCCAGCCACCTCTTGGCCCAGGTCCCCAACAATTCTTGTGTGTCCTCAGCCCTGACCGTCCCAGCAACCCCCCCCAGACCCTCTCCAGCATTCCCTTAAATTGGCCCCAGACGGGACGTGGTATTTCGGGGACAGCAGAGGAGCGGAGGTGAGAGGGACGGGCCAGAAGTGGGATGGAGATGGCTTCCGAGGGAAAGGAGAGTAGCAGAGGCTAGGAGAAGACTTTCTGCAGGGACAATAAAAGCCAGGAGGGGACAAACCAGGACCGAGGTGGCAAAGATGGGATCCAGCGACCCTGGCAAATGTGGGAGCTGTGGGGCGCAGCAGCAGGAGCAGAGGAGGACCCTGGAAAGGGGACATCGCGTGCTCCTCGTGCGATCCCGTAGCTGTCGTCCTCGCTGAAGGAAATCAAGGTGGTGGTCACCTGCGAGGTCCTGCACCCATGGCCAGCAGCTTCTAGGAGCAAACATCAGTACTTCTGACCTGGAAGAAACCTTTGGTTTCACCCCAAATTGCAACAAGAAGGAGAGATGGAGGAACGCTCCACCAAGAAGAAACTGAAAAATGTCTGCGCTGCAGAATTGAAACAAAACACCGCGGGCTGCCCTAAACCGAGGGTGTCTGGGCTGCGGGAATCCCACCGCCATGCTCGAACGCCCTTCGCTAATCCTCGCTTGGGAGCTGTAGGTCTGGCCCCGTCCCACAAGACGCTTGGGAGCACACGTCTCCCCCGATCCACCTCCGAGAAGGGGACATTTTTCCCTATGGAAGAGCATATAGTTGCCTGCCGGCCGGCAATTTCTCTGACAAGGTTCCCCCCCACCCCCCGTCAAGGGCAGGATTTTGCCCTGGGAGCGTTTCTGGTGGAGGATGGAGGCTGAGCCCCTGGGATCTCTCGGCACAGGAAAGCCTGGAGCAGCTCCCTGCGGGCTGAGGCTCCTCTTCCATTTAAGGGCAGGAGTAATATTTCCGCCTAAAAATCTTTCCCTTGGCAAAAGGATATCCGTCCAGCCTGCTGGGAATTATCCCCGAGGACGCTCCCTTTCTCTTGCCAGTCCCACCTCGTTTTAACACAGCCCAAATCCTCCCACCTGCTCGTTACCCAGCCCAGCGAAAGGACGCTGTTTATGTAGGACCTACTCAAACGTCCCTTCGGCTGGGGTACGCCAGCGCCCCGGCACCCTTTTGCGGGGTGCAGATGGGGAGCACCCGTGACCTCGTATGTCCTCCCTCACACCCCCCACCCTCGGCCCCCAAACATCCTTTTGGGGCTGGAAACCAGCTGGGGGATCCTTTGGAGCCCTTCTCCCTCTCCCGCTCGCCGCTGTATAATTTTACGGTTTAAAACTTGGCCGACCCGTGTTTGAACTTTCAAAGAAAACAAGTCATTACCGAAGAGAAGGCTTTCCTTTGCGAGGCCGAATTTCAGAGGGTTTTTCAGGGTCTTTTATCTCTCCCATCTCTCTGCCGCTTGGCTATGGGGCTAAATGATCTGGCAAGCCGGGCTCGTAGGGGTTTGGATTTCAGGGACGCGGCAAATTGGCGGCGGGTTCTCCCCCGGAGCCGTCTCTGACGCCTCTGGTGTTCCACGCAGCTCCCTGGGGAGAGGAGAGGTGGGAAGCCAGCGTGCCGGGGAGGACCGGAGGCTCGAGGGATGATGGAGACGGAGGGGACCGCGCAGGGATGCTCAGCCTCCTCCGGAGGCAAATCCAGCTGGGAAGGTGGATGAGACGATTCCCTGGATAGCAGCCGTGCTCAGGCGGACCTGTCCGAAGAGGAACATGTTTTTTCCCCTAGGAAAGGCTAAATTTGCCTTCTTTACGTTGAATTTCAGGGGTGCTCCTCCGGCTGAATCCCTCCCCAGCCCTTGCCGGGAGATACTTGAGTAGAGTCTCCGGTGCAACACTGAGCGCCTTGGGATGCTCCATCACCTTCTGATCTCGGAAGACAGGCAGAAAGCTGTCGGGGGTCCCCCAAGGTGCCTTGGTGGGTGGCTTCCAGCCCACCGCCGATGGTCCCAGTGGAGGGAACAGGCTACCAGGCTGTGCCTAACTGCAGCCCTGGCTCTTGAAGGGGTGAGGACATGCCTGCGCTGATCCTAGCCTGCCGGGAGCTCTCAGCATCCCTCTGGGCAATGCCCTGAGCATCCTTTCCTGGCCGGAACAGGCCTCGCTTTCCAAGAGGAGTCAAGCGCGGGATGGCCATCGTATTTTCACGGCTGGCTTGTTTTCTGGCAGCCCTCGTGCACCCAGCGATGGGTGCCAGCAGCGATGGGCATCACCAGGGCTGTTGACACAAGGGCCATGAGTACCTTTTGTCATTTAATAGATATAGGTCAGCCAGAGGTTTTGTTACACAAAGCAGGAATGTTTGCTGCTTGCTGCTCCCAGGCTGGGAGATGGGCTAGATAGCTTATCTGCAAGAGAAAGAAGAACTGTCAGCAGAAGAATAGGCCCGGGCTGGCTGTTTCTGGCTGTTTCGCATGTCTCTGTCCCAGGGAATGGAGCGGTCAGGGTGCTTGGCCAAAAAATAAAATAATAAAAAAAAAATAATCAAGGTTTTCCCCTCCTCCAGCTTGGCACTGGGGTGGGTGACCTTAGTCTAGCCCCTCCGGACCAGCTCTCACAAGGCATTTGGATGCCTGAAAAAATAAGCTACAGCCACCAAATCCCCCAGATTACCTCCTGGTAAAATGCTACAGGAGCAGCAGGAATGGGGCTGGCTCACAAGCAAGCCTGGAGCTGAGTGGGACAGCAAGGCAGGGACCCGATCGACACTGGCACCGTCCCTGGGTGCCCCAGCAAGAGGCAGAGCTGGTGGGTGATGGCAGGGAGCGTCAGACCCCCTGAATGGGGACAAGCGAGGTCTGAGCCTAAATACAGCCCCAGGGCCGTGGACAGGGTGCGTGGGTGGGTGGGGTCCAGGTGGGGCCAGTTGGGGCCCTCGTCAGCCCCCGGCCAGCCATCATCAAAGTGTTTGGATGAGATTTTGGGGATGAGGAGAGGGGGACCGGCAGCAGGTCTAGCTTTCGGTCTCTCCTGGCCCACATCGCTCTCCTGGTTACGAGCTGGTTGTAAAGCAAAACCATCCCAGCGGGGGTCTTGCCCAGGTGGGGTTTGCCCGTTCCCGAGGAGCCCCACACCCCGCCTCGGGGTCGGTGGAAGCAGGGTTTCTGCAAGCCGCCCTGGCTCTGAGGATGCTGCACCACAGCAAACATTAGATCCACCCAAAAAAGAGCTAAAACCCCTTAAAGGGTGACTTTTATAAATAAGGGACAGGCTGCTAAAAACCAGCTCCCTCCAAAACTGGGCCATTCCTCCAGGAGCAAAAGTTGGGGTTTGCTTCTCCCCGTCCTTAATGAGCTGCTGCAATTAAACGGAGACAATAGGCATTGTCTGCAGAGTAAGGGCTCTGCTGGGGATGCCAGGAGAGATCCTGTTTGCTGGACTGGGGTAGGAAGGCACTGGGATGCTGGCAGCCTTTTTGACCTGGAGAGCCCTTGCTGCGGTGAGGACAGGTCTCAGTTACCTTTCCATGATGCTTTAGCTTCTTGCTCTGCCATCACCCGAAGGATGGGGATGCCCCTCCGAAAAATGCCACAACCTCCACGTCTGGTTCAAGGCTTTTGGCTGCCCATGAGGTTCAACTCGGGCTGGCATCGTCCCTCTGGTGTGCCACCACCTAAGGCTGCGGGAGGTGTGGGGTATCCCCAAGTTAGGGATGAGGGAAGGTCCCCAGGAACCTCCTTCTTCTTTTTTAGGTGAGGACGCTCTTTGTCAGCGGGTTGCCTTTGGATATCAAGCCCCGGGAACTTTACCTGCTCTTCAGGCCCTTTAAGGTACCAGATTGCGGAGGGGAGAGGGGGCTGGAAGCGTGGGGCTGGCCCCCTGCCCCATCCCTGTGGCCCCTCCAACCTTGGTGGGATCTGGGAGCTCACGGGTTTCCCCCAAAAAAAGTCTAAATCGGTCATTTTATTCACAGAAACAAGTTTCTGAGCCTTTTTCCCCCCAGTAAACCATAGGAAAATGGCATCCGGCACTTTGCACTGGGGTTTTAATTGCACGTTGACTTGCACCCCATTTAGCAGCAGCAGAACGTTGGCTGCAAACCTCTCCAGCCTCTTCGCCCTGCCAGACCCACAGCTCAGACACCGGCTCTTGTCAAACACGAATGATAATATTATAGGGCATCCAGCATCCCTACAAAAATCCAGCAGCGGCCAGTCCCTGCACCGGTGCTGAGCCTTGGCGAACTCCCCTCCGGCCCCGTGCCCACCTGATGCCCCCCAGCTGTAGGGCTGCCGGGTGATGGATGCCACAGGTTTCCCTCTCCCAGGGGCAGCTGAATCGCGGGGATCTCCACCAAACACCCTTTTTTTATTCTTTTCTTGCAGGGGTACGAAGGATCTCTCATCAAACTCACCTCCAAACAGGTAGGAGCTGCTCAAAACGGGACAAGCATCCCATACCAAGCTCCCACCCTCCCCCGGGGTGGGGGGGTCCCCCCTCTGCTCCCCGCCAGCCTGATTGATGGTGCCTCCTCTCCTTCCTCCGCAGCCCGTGGGCTTTGTCAGCTTCGACAGTCGCTCCGAGGCGGAGGCGGCGAAGAACGCGTTGAACGTGAGTGCGCCTGACCGCTCCATTTTTTGTTGGGTTTTTCCCCCCCCGCCCCTCATTTCCCCATCCCCGGATACTCTCCGAATTCCTCCATCCCGCGGACGGGCATCTCCCGCACCGGCTGGCCCCACCGCATCCCCATCCCTCCAGCTGATCCCCATCAGCTGCTTCTCATCCGCATCCTCTCTCCCAGGGGGGTGCATCCCTCTCGCCTTTCCCAGGGCCATCCGGGGGGGGCCTGAACCCTAAGGATTAGAGCCTTAGATATGAGTCAGCGAGAGATGCCCTTCCCAGCCTCTCCTGTTTCTTCACTGGGAAAAATCCCAGCTAAAGCTGTAAAAGAAAAAGCAGATTTTTCTTTCCTTTAGCAGCTCCCTCCTACCTCTGCGGAGTTAACCTCCTGAAAACAGTCATGGGGAGAACCGCGTGGAGCCGGTTCTCCAATTCCGCCCCGGGTTTTGGTTTGGTTTTTTTTTCCTCCCTTGTCTTCATTTTCAACGTAAAACTTTTTTTTTGGCTCCGCTAATCCCTCTGGATAAGAGCTGGGCCGCGCGGGATGCCGACTGCCAAATATGGTGCCGATGCTAAAGATGCCGGAGGAATGCGAGCTGCCTCGGGGCCCGGCAAATTAGCTCATTTCAAGGCTGGAAGTTGAAAAAAAAAAAATAATTGGGAGTTATTTTTGCTGCGGGGCCGGCACGCGGCGGTGCTTGCCCACCCGCCGTGCCTCCTTCCCTCCCGCAGGGCATCCGCTTCGACCCCGAGATCCCCCAGACGCTGCGGCTGGAGTTCGCCAAGGCGAACACCAAGATGGCCAAAAGCAAGCTGGTGGGCACCCCCAACCCCAGCACGCCTCTCCCCACCGCCGTACCTCAGTTCATCGCCCGGGAGCCCTGTAAGTACCAGCCCTGGCTCTCCCGAGGGAGCCCCGCGTGGTCCCCCCGACCTGCCGCTGCGGCAGTGGCAGCGGGTTTTGGGGTGGCAGGTGCCAGGGGTTGCCCCCATCCTCGTTTCGCCTCGGGAAAACACCTTATTCAGGCAATTCGGTGCCGCGCAGAAATCGCGGGTGGACGTAGCGATGCTGGCTCCCCGGTGTGGGGTACTGGAGGGAGCAGGGTGCCGCGGCGGGGGGTGGCGATGGGGAACGCCAGGTCCAAGTGGAAGCAGCAGCACCCGCTTGCTGCAAGCGCGGTGGCACGTGCCGGCTGGTGGCCGGGGGTCCCCAAAAGCGCCTGCTGGCGCTGGAGAGGACCCAGGGGCAGGCGACAGCCGGCTCGGCACAGCGGGTGGGAGCGGGATGAACCCGTGGTGCTGCTTCACCGCGCCAGGCAGTTTCCTAGTCGCGGCTGGGGGTCTCGGCGGAGCCCTCAGCGGTGTCGTGCCGTGAGCGCGCCGTACCCGTTTCTGCTAAATGGAAGAGTATTTCTCACATGGGCGCCGGTTCGTTGTCTCGCTGCTGCGCACGGGCACGAGCCGCGTGCTCTCCTTCGTGCCCGCCGACACCAGATCCCCTGGGGTAATTAAACCTCTCGGAGACGACGAACCCAGCCTGGCCTCCCCCAGCCACGCACCCAGCCCCACGGCATCGCTCGCCACTAGCCGAGCCCCGCATTCTCCCAGCGGGCGAGTTCAGCGTTGGCTTTGCGGGTCGGCTCTCGCCGGCGGCACCGGCATGCCGCGCTTCTCCGGGGGACGCTCCGCTCCCGCTCCCGCCTGCTTTGGGGGGAGAAGGAAGGACCAGGGGTGCCGAAAACTGGTGCGCGGCGCGGCGTCGCCATTAACTCTCCTTCTTCTTTTCTTGCAGATGAGCTCACAGTGCCTGCACTTTACCCCAGTAGCCCTGAAGTGTGGGGGCCGTACCCTCTGTACCCAGCGGAGTTAGCACCTGCTCTACCTCCTCCTGCTTTCACCTATCCCGCTTCGCTGCACGCCCAGGTAATTCAGACCCATCCACCACCACTGCCGCTCACCCTCCCAGGACCCCCCGTCCCTCCTTTCCCCTCGGTGCTCACCGCACCACTAACCTCTAGCCGGCTAACAGGCGCTCACTCCCCTCCTCTCCCTGAGATTTAGGGATGGCACCCAAACCGAGCTGAGCGCTGGCAGCGGGGCGGCGCGGGCAGCACCGCCTGCCTCTCCCCAAACACCTCTCTCTGCCTTCCTACCTTCGCTCTCGCCCGCGCCAGGGGCAGGCGGGGAGGGAGGGAGGGATGAGGGATGCTCGCCGGGGCTGAACCGTCCCCCCCAAATCGCTCCCGGCACCGAACGACCCGTCCGGCTGCTGGTGCGGCTCAAGACGGGGGCTCCTGAGCCCCCGGCCGCCCCTCGAGCATCGCTGGGATGCGGCTTGCCAGGACGCGGGGTGTGAAGCAAAGCGACTCTGACGGGGAGGAGAGAGCAAGCGAAGCGCAAATGGAGGACCCATCTTTTATTGACGAGGCGCGCTCGTCACAAGCGCTTTTCTGCTGGCTGCCACCGCCGGTAGCCCCCGATGACAGCACGTGGCTGTTAAAAATTAACCACCCGCCCCAGGAGAGGAGCGGGGAAAAGAAGAGAAGAAGTGGAAATGGAGGTGGCAAAGGATTTCTTTGCAGTGCCAGCCTTTGGGATGTTTGCTGGAGCGGCATCGCAGGGATGCCAAGAAAAGACCCCCGCCATGGTGGGGGGAACGGGCAGCTGCCTCCCCAGCAGACATGCCGGATATCATCCTGGCTTTTTTTGCTCCTCGCCGCCGGCTCCGGCTTGGCGGTGAGCAGGAGGAAACGAGCGTACGGAAACAGATTTGCCGGATAAGCCACATCTGAAAGGCTTTTGGCCCTGGCCCGCCAGGATTGAGCCGGGTTATCCGGAGCCGCTATCACTGGGAGCCGGAGGCAGCTGGGGGCTGGTTGGAGCAGGAGGGCGAGGAAAAGCTCTCGGCGTACAAACCAGCCCCAGCCTTTGGATGAAACTCCGGCTTTTTGGGCCCTGCTGTTTATAGGAAGAGCGGCGGTAAATATTATTGCAGCTACGTACTTGCCTTGTCAAATAACCGCTAACAGGCAGCACCTGCGCTGCTCGGGAGGCTGGGGAAACGGCCGGCGAAGGAAACGGAGGCGTAAGGAGGCTCTGAGGGCCCCCCGGGAAAACCCAAGCTGAGATGTGATGTTAGATGCTGTTAGAAGAAACATTATCCGCCGCGGTTATAGAGCCGGCGCGGCGGGGACGGTGGCGGTGGCACTTTTGCTGTCGCCCCTGGGTGCTGCAGTGAAGCAGGCAGCGTTCCCCTGCTGGGGGCTGCAGCCGGTCCCCGTCCCCCCCGTGCAGCTGCCGGCGTTGCAGGTTTGGTGGGGATCACTGGAGATGGGTGCCACCACCCGAACTGGAGCTGCTCGCTGCAGGGTGGCCTCCTCGGCTGGGTCCTGCAGAGAGCGGCAGGATGGTGGGGCCGACCTGGCGTTACTCGGCAGACCACCGAGCGCCCACGGGCAGGCGGGGAGAGCCGTCGGGTTTTGGCGTCTGACATTTTCCCCGCTCCGTCTCACGTGGGCTTTGCAGGTGTTAAGAGGGGATGAGCGCACGTCGTGCCTGGTTGAGACCATGGTGCTGCCGTCCTGGCTCATTCCTGCTGCAAGCAGTGATGCCGGGGGCCGCGCTCAGCCCCAGCCGGTGTTACTATCCAAACTGGAGCTGGGACGGCTGTACTGTTTTGTTCCGCTTCCCTCCGCCCTCTGCCCAGGGAAGACCAGGAAAGGGGAGCCCAGAGGCAGCCGGCTCTCGCCAGGGTGGGTGGCCACCACCCCCCTCACCCTGTGCCCCTCTTGTCTTTGCAGATGCGCTGGCTCCCTCCTTCCGAGGCTGGTTCTCAGGGCTGGAAGTCCCGTCAGTTCTGCTGAATGCCGGGTGAGTGCCACCTCTCCGCTCCCGTCCTCCTGCGCCGGCGTGGTGGGCCGGGGGCCACCTCCGCCCTTACCCTGAGCTCCCCCCGCCACGACTCTCGGGGTCTCCGGCAGCTGAGGGTGGGTGTCCAGACCCTTCCAGCCACTTTCCGGCAGACGCTGTAGGTCCGGGTGCCCTCCGTGCCCTCAGGGATGGGATATCTCTGCCACCGTCGACCCCAACGCTTTCCCAAATTTCCCAGGGCAGGATGGAAAGGCAGGTCTGCGGTTTGCCAGCCCATGCTGCTGCAGCAAGCAGAGACTGCGTGCCTGAGGGGTGTAGCGATGGCGTGGTCCTGCAAACGAAGGCGGCAGCAGCAGGGCCACCCGGCTGAAGGCAACCTCCGCCTCCTGGTGCAAAACAAACATCTCATTAAACCCTAATGAAAACTCTCCTGGCAGCCTGGGGTGGCAGGGCTGCCAAAACAAGAAGCCTTGCGTTACCAAGTGCCCGGCTGCCTGGCAGGAGAGAGGGGGCTGGTTCGACGACACCTGGAACCTCTTCAGATGGAAAAAGCCTCGCAAGATAACGCTCCGCAAATAACTCAGCCTTCCGTGGATAAATAAACAAAAGGGATTCAAATGGAGGAGGGGAAAGAAGCTCGGCTGATGCTGAGCATCGCTTGTCCCGTGACCCCAGCCTGCCTCGACCATCCCAGCTGCCATCCCCCCAACTCTGCCGATGCCTGCTGGGAAGCCTCTTGTGCCACGTCCGCACCCACCTGCGGAAAAACCCCAGCGGATCCAAGGAGGTGGCAAGGCTCCGGCATCGGCTGCCCGTGCTCCTGTGCCATCGCTCTGCCTGTCCGCCTGGCACCTGCAGTCCTGCGCCGCAGCCACGAGGCTCGCTCGCCGGGGGAGGGCAGGAGGACCGGCCGTGGCTGCAACCGACCCGAGACTCGGATCTGCAAAGCATTTACCGGCTATTTTAGGCCCAGCAGCTAAAAATAGGGAGTGGTGAAGCTTTGAGAACCAGCGTTTCTTCCAAAATACGGAACGTGCCAATGTTTCCAGCTAAAATGTAAGCAGAGCAGTATTTGGGAAAGGGAGATGAGCGAATCCCTTAGAACAGGTCCACCTGCCTGCAGCAATCCCAGTAGCCACAATGGGTGGCAAGGATGCAGGGTCAGGGACCTCCCGGCTCCCCACCAGGCTCCTCCAGCCTCGAAGGGCTACGGCACAGCCCAGAGAAGGGTTTTGCTGCTGCCCTGGCTCTCCCACTTCCATCCTCCCTGTATTTGCCGCGTGGAGCCCATCAGGACAGGGTTAAGCTGGAAACGGCCCCTTTAGGAAGCGCCGACCCCGTCCACCGCAAAATAACCTCTCCCCACAGCGCACCGACCTCAACTCTTGGCTGCCAGCTGTCCCTGCCAGCGTCCCTAACCCTCCGCTGTGTCCTCTCGCAGGTCTCAGGTGTGTGATGGTGGCCTACAGTCAGTCTTGTGGGTATTAATGGAGTCTTCCAAGGCGGCTACTGGGTTGGCGTGCTCTCCGCATAACCACAGTGTGCTGGTAAGGCTGCAGCGGGGCGCCCGGCTGGGCCAGGGGGACGCGGCCCCTTGGGCTTTGCTGCTTTGGGGAGGGGGTAGAGGGGTAAGGAAGGCAACGTGATGTCCCCGAGGAAACGGGCAGCGAGGCGGGCACATCCCTGGGACTGATCCCTGCAGGGTGGCATCGCTGCTCCCGCTACGGCACAGCACGGTGCCTCTAGCACCGAACCACGGCTCTGCCATTCCCGCGTTTATCCTTGTTATCTGGGGCGAGAGTTTCGACAGCCGAGGAATGCCTCTCGGCTTTGAATTACCCCCGGTAATCTCATCTCGCTGCCGTCCTCGCTTCCTGCCTTGGATCAACAGAGACTGAATTCCTCTTAAGTGCAAAATTCAACGCAAACTTAACTCTCAGCTTCCCAGCTGGTGCCTCCTCAAGTTAAAACCCCGGGGGCTACAGTCATCGGGAGGAGCAAACTGGGACCAGTGGGGTCCTTCCCCTCTGCCCAGCCAACTGACCCTGGGGTACTGACAGCCTCGGCTCTCCACACAGGCATTTCCCACCTTGCCCTTTCCCGGTTAAACAACTGTCCTTGGAGCGTGGTCCCGGCCTGGGCTGCTCTCCCTTCCTCGCCCCGTTTCCAAAACAAGCCTCCCTCTCCCCGAGGCTGTGGCACAGGAGCTTCCCCACAAAGAAAGAGAGATAAACCACAGCCCCTTTTCCACTTTGCCTCAGTCCAAGATTACAGCAGCTTTTTTTTGTCTTTTTTTTTTTTTTAAACACCTCTCTCTGTTGTTACAGGCTTGAAAAAAAAAAAACCTCACACAAGTTTGGATTCCTCCAAGACTTTCCCACAGCCTCTATCACACATCTGCTCTCCTAGAAGAAAAACGAAAAGCATACCTAGTAATAATGTTTTCCTCTTTTACACTGTATATTTGTAAGAAAGAGTGTGTTACTTCTGAAAGCATGGTTTGACAGGCATTGCTGTAGCGTTTGAAAAGTCTTTTCAAACAGAACCATAGGAAAGCAGACTACAAAAAAAGCAAAACGAGAGCAAGTATTTTTGTACCAAACCTCCTAAATAGGACAATCTTACACTGGGTCGGACCACAGGTTTTGTGCTTGACTTTCAAATGCGTGTAATTAAGAGCCTCTATCCCCCCCGCCCCGTCAACTGCATGTCAAAGGCATGATGTTCACGTGCGCGCAGATGTCGAGACACACGATTCAGGTTGGTAGGAATTGTGCTCCGGCTGTGTTGGCAAGACATCTGCGGACACTTACAGTATTACCGTTTTCTTCCCAGTTGTACCAAACGACAACCAGGCAGGACAATCAGAAACTTTCTTATGGTGATTTTTTTTACCTTAGGGCTATGTTAATAGCTTGCTGTGCAAAGCTTCGGCATGGTACAACGGCTCGGATCAGGGATGGGCAGAGACAGCCCGCAAATGTAGCAAGGTGACAATTTGCCTCCTCCTCCTGCCATGACTGCTTGAAGTTGTTATGGGCAACGTAAACTGCTGTATGAGAGAAAAAAAAAACCAAACAACCCTCCGTTCGCCAGCTTACTCGAGGTTGGGTGCGAGTCCCTGAGGGGGCCGAGGGGCTTAGACACGTGCCTACCGTTACAAAGCACTGGGCTGAACTGGGGTTTTAGCGTCAAGGTTATATGCCAGCCTGGCGGCTCACTGTGTAGCATTTCCATGTTTCCATGTGCAAAGACAAGAAGGGAGGCTGCTAACACCCTTAGGGCAGTATCTGTAACCTTTACAGAGATAGTGTACCAGCAAAGAGACCGCTTGATGTACTAGTTTCTCCTTCTCCTTGCTCCAGGAGGAATTTGGAAAAAGAAAGAGCAAAGCAAACCAAAACAAAACCTCCAACAGATTTCAGTTTCTTGCAAAAGGAGGTGCAAAGCTTCTCCTTTCATTGCCTTTCCCCCCACCCCATCCCTGCTGTGGAGCACACCGAGCTCAGCTGCGGCCCAGGCTTTGCTGTAGCCGATTTGCCAGCTGCGCTGAAGGCACAGGGTGCCCGTGGCCTTGTTAAACATCAAAACCTTTTTCTTTCTCCTTCCTCTGATTCTGTGGGTGGGCCAAAATAAGACGGCTGAGATTTCGGCTGCCGGAGCCGAGGCAGGGCGGGGGGTGACACGGTGCGATGGGAAACTGTCCCGTTGGGGTGTTCTGTAAAAAGTGGCATTGATAAAGGCAATGTGAGAAGAAATCAATTCCAAGACAAACCTCTGAGCGGCTCTAAAAGGAACGATACCAGCGTTTCCAAGCGACGGACTGACTCTTTTAGCAAACTATTTCCTGTACTTTGTCTCGTGGAGAGGAGAGAAGCTTCCACATTGTCTACTCCGCTTTTGGAAATATGTTTAAAGGTACTTTTCTATTGTAATTTTTTAAAAATAAAACCAGTGATTATTATAAGTTACACACAGAGCGTCAGTCGTGTGCTGTGTATCTGGTTAGGAACAGGGAGAAGGATCCCAACGTACACCCTTCGGGGCCCTGGGGAACAGCAGCCTCCTTCCTCCCTCGGGGTAGTTGAAGGCAACACTCCTGAGGGACACAGCGATTTTTCAGGGCAGATACCATCCTCCTGCTTGGCTCGCTTGGATCTCTAGGAAAGCTCCAAAATCCAGGCTGGAAGGAGCAGCAGGCTTTAAAGGAATGACTCCAAGTTTACAAAGATGTTATCAGTTAGTTATTAAACCTACTAATCTTGGCACTGAGCACAGGAGCTAAGCTGCGATTTTCCATGAGCTCAGCCACAGCAGAGGCAAACGTAACCTAGAGACGAAGGGCCAGATTATTTTTATTTTTTTTTAACACGCTGAGAATTTTTAAAAACTCGGTTCATAGGCCCAACCTAGAAATTCCTCCTCCTTCCTCCACTCCGCCTCCGCCCCGATAAATGTGACCAGCGTCCCCAGGAGCCTCAGCCAACAGGCCAGACTCTGAAAACAAAGTACAAGGAGCAAGCTCCAGCTTAGCAAACGCAGCCCAGAAAATGGTGTGTAAAGGACATTATTAAAGCAGGCTACAAACTATCAAGGGCGGAAGAAAAAGGCACTGTGGTGTTACTTGAAACCCCCAGCTGGCAGGGATGAGCCGGGGAGTTAAGCCCTTAATGTTGGATGCTAATCCCCCCACAGCCACCGCAAGTCACAGCTTTCTTTCCGAGTTGCATTCAGGGGAGAGGTTTGTTGGCAGTCCCAGCCTAGGAAGGGAAGAGAGCGACAAGCTGCAAGCGCAACACGAACATATTGCTCAGCCTAACTGCTATTCAGAGCGGCGGTAACTGGCCGACACCACTGTCCCAGGCACCGCTTTAGCGAGACACGCAGATGCTTTCGGGAGCAGATTCAACAGCAAACATCCTCCAGCTAAGAAAGCGCATCGCACGCATCCTCCTGGATTTTGCCTGGGCACGGCATCTGCTCTGAGATCTGCCCTGCGAAAGGAAGCGGGGCCTTGCCGAAAATATTTGACCTCTTGAACCGTTTTTTTCTTTTTTTAAGTTTACCCAGTAAGCCAAAATGTTTTCGGCTCCATGCTGATCGGTGTTGCCCGCATCGCTGAGGGGTGGGAGCGGCAAGC